TGGGTCGTATTTTGGGTCGTTTCAACCGGTCTGGGACCGCAAATGTACAGGTCTACTAATAACCAACATCGTTTTCAAATCCACATGGAGATGCCACCAAATCATCTACAACATTGCTTCTAATATTGTTCCTCACCCTCAAATTAGAGTTATTCAAGAAGTTCAATCTATATAAATATGAAGCAGATGATGAATAATGTCAATAAAAATACTCAACTGAATGCTCCTTTGAATAACAATCAAACCAAAAAAAATTGTGTTCACGAACTAAACAAGGGAACCAATATTTGAGTAATAAACATCATACTTATATCTGCAGGGCATCTTTACCATGGTTGTGGAGCATAGAATCAGCAACTACATCTACACATGAAAATATCACTCATACATACATTAAAAGGCAAAACAGATCAATAAAAGTATTATACAATTACATTTATCATACATCTTAATCAGAAACCCATTTGAATGCCACTCTTCACCTTAAATATGAAGGAAAGCTAAAAAAAAACACTATCTTATTTCAGGGCTAATGACATAAAACCCTCAGGTTATCAGGAAATGTTCGTATTTACCCTTTGATGAGTTTTATGTTCAATAATGCCTCATGTTTTGTTTAATTTGTTCAATTTTGCCTTGTATCAGGTTTAGCCGGTTGCATTTACAAGTGGTGGCCACATGAACCCGCTGACTGGACGAATTTTGCCTGAGGTGGCGCTACATGGGCGATGACATGAGCATCATAGTTTCATTTATTTAAAAACTATTTGTAAGACCTGTATGATATACAGGTTGGATAAAACAAAAACTAAATATGAAGGTTTAAACAAAAATTTATTTAGAATTGAAATATAAAATTTAAAATTTGAATTTAATAGGAAAAATATTAAATATTATATAAGTTGTAGTATTGTAATTTATTGGTTATTTTCAATTAAATCAATTATTAATTGAAGTATAAATATGATGTGTTAATTAAGAAAAAATAAAAAAATAACAAAATGACAAACAGAAAAAACATTTATTCAAAAATACCAAAAAATGACATGTGTCCAAGTTAATGAGGAAGTGACGTGTGGTAAAATTATTTTCATTTATTAGGGAGAATCAAAGGAAAGAGGGGCAAATGTTGGAACACGGATTCGAACACACAACCTTCCCTACACAAAAACAATGAATTTACCACTACGCTATAGAATCTGTTGTGTTTAATTGTCGGATAAATAATATATGACGTGTAATGCTGAATCAATAATAATAATAATAATAATAATAATAATAATAATAATAATAATAATAATTATTATTATTATTATTATTATTATTATTATTATTATTATTATTATTATACGTTTTTATACATATTTAAGATTATATGCACATATAAATACGTTTTAAAACCTTTTTAAGCATATAAAAATGTATTTACATATATTTAAAATTGTTTAAACATATTTATCATATTTATTTGTAACATTAAGTATAAAAGCAATTTTATACCTCTCTCTCTCTCTCTCTCTCTATATATATATATATATATATATATATATATATATATATATATATACACGTTATTAAATATGTGTAAACACGTATAAAACTCTCTTTGGAAAAATTATTTATAAATACACTTTTATAAATATTTGTATACATTTTTAAATATGTATAAATACATAGCTTTAATAATAACTAGAAAGGATTCCCCGACGTTGCCGGGGTCGGAAGGTGTTGCTTTGTAAAGTAAAGTAGCATGTTGAATTGCATTGAGATAATCTAGTAAAGGAAGATAAACAATGTTATCTAATTACATAAGTAAAGAAATCTAAATCATTATTTCTTGCAATAAATGAAGAAAATAAAGAAATGGTCTCACAAATTGAACTTTATTGTCATGTATGGCAGCATATGGACCATTTATATAATTTTGGTGGTGGTGGTAATGGCAGATGGTGGGTGGCTTTATGGTATTGGGTGAGTATTTTCTAATAAATAAAACATTAATTTAAAACCAAAAAAAGAAATATAAATTAATGAAAAAAATCGGATTAGGAGTAAAAGAATAATTTCAGATCACTTTTGTAACAAAATGAAACCACATAAACCAAGTGCATAGAAGTTTCCATCGTTGTCCTCAATGTGTTAAATCTGGTAAACCACAGGGACCAATCGTGTAATTTTGTCTAACAATAATAATAATAATAATAATACCAACTAATAAAGTGACAATTAAACGAAAACATAAGGACCATTTCTGCCAAAAACCAAAAAAGATAAAAAGGAAGCAAATGACTCAAATATAGTTGAGAGGTCATTTCTACCAAAAACCAAAAAAGACAAAAAGAAAGTAACTTTAAAATGACTCAAATATAGTTGAGGGACCATTTCTGCCAAAAACCAAAAAAACACGTTAAATTTTTTCACAATCTTAATATATATATAATAATAATACCAACTAATAAAGTGACAAGTAAACAAAAACGTAGGGACCTACAATGCCACAAATAAACAGAAATAAAGGGACCAAAAAAGACAACAATGAAGCAACTTTAAAATGACCCAACCGCGCCGGCCGAATTGGTCATTTATGGTTATTTTATGTTCGTATTACAAATATGAATAACTAAGTTTTATGAATATAAATTGTAAATGGAATTAGGTAATTAGTAAAGATTTTTATAAAATACAACACTTGCAAAAAAAAAAAAAAAAGTAAAATGCCACTCTTTGAAGGGATTTGCTTTGAGATGCTTCTCCATTCGGAGTTTCGGACATCTCGCACGATCCAAGGCACCAACAAAAACAAATAGGCTGCAATCATTAGGTAGACATTTGCATTTTCAGCCTTGGTGTATAGAACATCAATGGCCACTAATAACAACAAACCAACATTTTTCTATTTAAAACTCAAGTTGTGAGCCTCAAAGTTATGTATTTTTCTCGAAGTACAGCAATCTATATATATATATATATATATATATATATATATATATATATATATATATATATATATATATATATATATATATATATATATATATATATATATATATAACAAACCAACATTTTTCTATTTAAAACTCAAGTTGTGAGCCTCAAAGTTATGTATTTTTCTCCAAGTACAGCAAAATATATATATATATATATATATATATATATATATATATATATATATATATATATAGATTGCTGTACTTGGAGAAAAATACAAATATGATTCTTCATAATTTCAAATTATGAGTAAAGCATGCGATAATGGGCAAATGAAACCAAAAATTGTTTTTAATGAGTATTTCGTCCCTTTATGAATTAAAAGGGTTAATTGGCATAATATGAGAAACTTATATGAGAATCATAAAATCATACATATTTATAAAGCTAACATTTTTCTTTGAACCTCATACATTTGAAACCCCCATAAAAATTTACAAACACCTCATACATTTGAAACCTCCTATTTTAATGAATACCACTCAAAAGTCTTTTAATAATGATTAACAATTCAAAGGTTTTATAACTTATATAATATATTTAATAAAAATTAATTGATATTCTACTATAAAAAGGTCAATCTTTTTTAGTAGGCACACAAATACAAATCACATATAAAATTCACAAAGAAAACAAGTTTAAAGTTTTTTGTGTTGGTTTGAGGGTTTTGAACAATTTTTCGAGCCATGTTATTATGTTGGAGTTTTTAATTTGTAAGTTTGTTATATACTATTTTTTTTTTTTTGTATTTTCTTGATTTAAGTATTCTTCTAAAAATATCATTGTATGTTGTGGTTGAAATTTTAATGTAAATTAGATTAGATTCATGTTTTTTTTGGAAAGAGAACTTCCCTAACGAGGGTTTCCAGGTCAGCTTTCGCGCACCGACTAATCCCCCACTGCAAACATGAGGCTTTGCCTCATGCCCTGGAGTCACTGCAGGCGAACCTCCATGGCCACAAGGGCTGAGTGGTGCCAGGATTTGAACATGGGTCAATAGGTTATCCACCATATCTTCCACATGCCTTACCAAGTCACCACAACCCAAGTGGTAGATTAGATTCATGTTATCGACCATATGTTATAGAAGGTGATATTTAATATTTAATTAACTACTGTATACATGTTTTTATGTTCATGTTGCTTCAAAACAATAATTAATTAAAAATCATGGATATTTTATATTATCCATTTTATCCATGTAAGCCTTTTTTAAAATGCAAATTGTCAATCTTATCACTTTATATTTTAATATATGTTTAACATTTTAATTACAATAATAAATGTTTTTTAAAAGTTTCTTTCAATTATTAATAATAATAATAATAAGTGGTTTTAAAACTAGTAAGCAATAATTATAAATAATAAAATCAAATCCCATGAATGTCATATTATCCATGCAAGTCTCTTTTGAAATGCAAATTGTCTATCTTATCACTTTATTATTTAGTGTATGTTTCACATTTTAATAATAATATTAAGTGTTTCTTAAAAGTCTTCTTTAACTTATTATTAATAATAAATTGTATAAAATTAACGAATAATAATTTTAAATGATAATAACATCAAGTTATAAATTACATTTAGCCATAAATAAATTGTATTTTAAATGAACATCATTATTGAAATTAAAAAATGATCATATAAGTAAAAATATAATTAATCAATAATAATAATTGTTAAAAATAATACTAAATAGATAATTATATTTGATTCTATTAACGAGGAATATGGGTTGATGTCAATGAATATTATTGTTTAAAATAATTGAGATTTTATATATATATATATATATATATATATATATATATAAATTAGTGTAAAAATATTATCTCAAAGTTAATGTCAATAACATAACCATTTTAAACATATATTTTTCAATATTTTAACAATATATTTTTAATCTTCGCTGCGCAATGCGCGGGAATTCGTCTAGTCGTATAATAAAGCAAGGAGACACCCAAAGTTTTAACCTTTTAAGCAATCCGTTTTTTTTTTTTTTTTACCTTTTTGTCCTTCTTGGGCACATCATTAAGAAAAGTCAGAAGACTAACCTCTTCCTCCCCAAAGGAATATCCTCTCCTCATATATTTAGGTGTTTTAAGTGCTAAAATAACAACCAAGTATCCATGAGTTCCTCTCCTCTAACTCAGGAGAATAAAAACTAATGTTCAGATGAGACCAGATACATGAACAAATAGTATTAGTGCATATTAATACTCCACTTGAAAATTCAATCTCATAAGCAGGTGGTAAGATGAAACCCAATCAGAAGCATGAATTAGAAGAAGCCTCAATGTTCAACAATCAACAATTGCATATTTATCCCTGTAGCAAAAAAAAAGTGACAAAAATATATCATAAATTAAAATGCATTATACCTGAGACACAACTGAATCAGTTGACATCTCATCAAGTAGAATGAAGAAACAACTTAAAAATGTGGCGTAATTATTCAAGATTTTATAGAATCAGGTCTAATTTCAATTGTCTAAATAAGTAAATAACAATTTTACCCTTTTACTGGATACTGGATAGGTCTATTAATCAAATTGAAGTTTTAAAACAATTTAATCAATACGTGGTTCTGACACATAATTGCAGTTCTGACACATAAACACTTCTCATTCAAATTCAAACAAATGTTAAGAAAAATTCTCAATTTTCGACATCCAAAAGAAAATTCAAACTAAAATGACTGATAACAAAATCTTTCATGTATTCGCTAACCAGTTCTGACGTCTGCTGCTCCTTATCCTCATACTTTCATCTCTTTCTTTTTCATTTTGCCTTTCTCTTCCTCTATTTCTCCTTCTTTCTCACTTTTCTCTATAGCTCATTCCTGAAATACAAATCAAGTAGTTTTATCAAGCAGTTTCAGATAATCCAATTAGAAAAATGAAGTTTGAAACAACTTGTACATGGTGGTGTCTTGACACTCTTCAATGCAATATCCTGATTCTCCCTTATTTGAATAACAAACTTCGTTTTCCAATATGAGGCATAAGGTTGCAAACTGAAATGAAGTTACTTAGGTGGGAAAGACTAAATACGTCAAAATGAATTTATGAAAGGTAAAGATGATGTTATATGGAATGTCAGAATCGAAAATTCTTCGGTTAGCTTCTGAACAACCACAAAAGCAGGGAGCAAAGAAAAAAATCAACACATGTAGATAGTCAGACTATACAGACGATGCATGAAAAAAAAATGAAAAATCAATCAAATAAATCATAAATAAAAAAAAATAACACCTAGGGAAATTGAGGAAAAATGAGCACGATACACATCAAAGCCGCCTAAAATCGAACATGTTACAAACCCTAGACACCAATCGACAATACTAATAATAAGAGGGTTTGATAAAAATCTAACTTGGTGATGCTCAGTGTCAGAGAAAGAGCAGGGAAAAAGAAGCGGTTGCGTATTGCAGGTCCGATGAAGACAAAGGGCTTGTTGGGAATAGGAACGAAATTGTTGTTCGGATGCTTTTCTCTGTATCTGGAAATCCTCCCTGAAACAATCAAAAAAACCAATGGATTAGAAAAAAATAAAGAGTCGCCGGTTTAGGCGGGGGTAATAACCCAGACGGTGGTGGTTGGAATCCACGATGACGATGATTTTGAGGGGCGTCGCAATTGGCAATAGTAGGAAAATTGACGGACCTGCACGATGGAGACGATCGATTGTGTACCCCTTTCTCCAACTTTGAATCAAAGGATTTATGACTGAAGATAACAACCGGTGAGAAAGGAGGTGGAGATCGGAATTGCAGAAAATAAATGCAGAGGATTAAAGGTATATAGGTATTTGAGGCGGTGAACGGTGTAACCAAGGTCGAGTCAAATAAACCATGAACACACGTGGCCTCCACCGATCAATTTATTGAGGTGAGTGAGCAAAGAGATGCAAGAAAAAAAAAAAAAAAAAAAAAAAAAAGGTCAGAAACTGATGAGGAGGCCAACCCTACACAAAGGACCAAAATTGCAAGGACCAAAATGCCATTTCAATAAATAAAGGGACCAATTTTGCCAACTCCACTGTTTCTTTTTTCACATCTTTAATAATAATAATAATAATAATAATAATAATAATAATAATAATCGCTATTAAGAATATACAGTATTATATATTGTTTGAGAAATAAAAACAGAAAAGAACATCCAGCTTAGTGGTAAGCTTCTTCGCTTTGGAATCGGAGGCGGCGAGTTCAAATCTTGTTGCAGCCACTTTTCTGATTTCTGCAGCCTATTTTTCATTAAGGTGAAACTTTAGTTGCCATATCAGCACCGACGTGTCGCGAAGCGCTGTCCACGTATGCGTAAACTTAAATAGTAGAACCAACAATTTCTTGAAAATATAAGGTATCTTGTTCTTCAAAACAAATCATTACATGAAGACCCAAAACAACCATTAATATGAAGTTTTGAGTTTAAAAAGCAAGCCATAATGCAAAAGCATACCTGATGATATCCGTTCGTGTGTATGCGAGAGACGAAAGAAACCATGTCCAAATTTGAAATAATAAAACCCAAAACAGCTATCAATTCCTTCTACATGAAACAATCGGCAATTTCACACGCACAATTAACAAAAACATCACGAAAATCTTACCTGCGAATGTGGACCTTTCTACAAAAAACAAAACAAGCAAAAGCAAACTCGAAATGAGGAGTAGACAACATACCGTTCTCGCATGTTATGTAAAAAATTAGGCGAATGCTCGCGCGTTGCGCGGAAACATCTTTATAGTTGAAGTATTTACAAATACATGTTTTTTTTTTAAAATATAACAATAACTTTGTTGATAAATTTGATATAATAATTCGTATATTGAATTGATATAATCTATTAGTTATTTTGAATTATATGATAATAGGTACATCTATTATAACTGCATAATCTCAATTATTAGAATGACTTCTATCAGGGAGTTACACATGAATAAAAATTAAATATAATATATGGTTTAATGTTATTTATAGTTTTTGTTATTGTTAATTGATTTTTTAAAATTTATTTGCTTAATTTTTAGTTTCTGTCATTATAATTATTTAAAACATCAAACATTATTTTTTGATTTTAAAGGTTACAATATAATCATTTATATAGAATTATTTTAAACTATTATTATTATTGTAAGTTATTTTAAGCTACTTATTTGAAAACTTTTAACGATTATAAAAATATCTTTAGAAAATATTTTAGTTAAACTGAGATTACAATTTAGTTTTTATAATTATCACTACAATTTATCACTTTTATCTATTTAATAAATATTCTTTGCTTTTTTAGGTGGAACTGAAATTTATATTCAAGTTGACACTGTAATGTTATATTTAAATTAACAATTTAAGTATTTTGTCCAAACTGTTCAAAAGTTGTAGCTTTAAACTGATAATGGTTTACATACAACAACATTTTAAATCTAATAAATTAAATATAATATGTTAAAAGTAAAAAAATTACTTTATTAGTAGAATTAAAGATATTATTTTAAAATTGAAATTTAGTTTATTTATGATTACATTTCAGGTATTATATTTATTTAACCTTATTAACCAACTTATAATCATTATTAGAAAGACACTACAATTTATCACTTTTAACTATTTACAAAATATTATTTGGGTTTGTTTAAGTTAAACTAAAATTTATATTTAAGGGGGGCATATAATGTTATACTTAAATTAATAATTGAAGTATTTTATACAAATTGTTCCAAAATTGTATCTTTAAAATGATAATGGTTACATCTAACAAAATATTAAAACTAATAAATTAAGTATATAATATGTTAAAAGTTAACAAACATAACTTTATAAGTAGAAGTAAAGATATTATTTTAATATTGAAATTTAGTTTATATATGATTACAATTTTGGTTTGATATTTATTTGATATTATTAAACAACTTATAATTATTATTAGAAAGAAATTGAAAAGTTATGAGAGTTTCAAATGAATGTGGTGAAAGGAAAAATGCATGAGAGTTTCAAATGAATGTGGCGAAAGGAAAAATGCTTCCGTTATAAGTATACTAGGCGAATACCCACGCATTGCGCAGAATACAACAATGTATTTGAAATCTTTACAAATATATGTTTTTCTAATGGGAAGTGATTCGTACACAACGATTTTTATCCGTACACAACAATTTGTGTTTAATAGAGTTGTACAATACAACATTTTAAAGCACAAATTGTTGTGTATGGAGAAATTATCAATAGCGTTGTTGTTAGCTCTTATATAATAAATCTTATAATAACTTGGTATAAACATTGTTTGTTTTGATTTATATGCTAATGTAAACATCATTTAAAATTCTATAATCACAATTGTCTCAATGACCTCTACTTGTGGGTTACTCATGAATAAAATTAAATATAATGTATGGTCTAATGATATTTATAGTTACTGTTATGATTAATTAATTTTAAAATGTTTATTTGTTTAAGATTTTAATATCTATCATTATAATTATTTAAAATATCAAACATTGTTTTTGCAAAGATAACAATATATATTTTATATATAATTTTACTTTTAACTATTATTGTTGTAAGTTATTTAAAATAACATATATGGAAACTCTTAATTATTTTAAATGGGTTTCAAAATCTTAACCTTTTTAAAATTCATTTGATGAATATTTTTAGTTTCTTTCATTGTAATTATTTAAAACAATAAACAATGTTTTTGTTTATAAATATATCATTATAATTTTTTATATAATATTACTTTAGCTATTCTTATTGTAAGTTGTTTTTAAGCTATTTATTTGAAATTTCTTAATGACTATAAAAAATAGTTTCATGTTTTTTTTTGTTAATTTAGGATTACAATTTAGGTTTAACACTATAATTTATAACTTTTAACTTTTTATAAAATAGTATCTCGATTTTTTTCAAGTTTAACTGAAATTTTGATTTAAGTTAAACGTTTAACATTATATTGAAAATAATAATTTAACTATTTTGCATGAAATCATAAACTATACAAAAGTTGTGACTTTAAAATGATAATTGCTTACATACGACAACATATATAAAATAATAAGCTAACTATAATATGTTTAAAAGTTAAAGTCATAATTTTATAAATAGAAGTAAAATATGAATGATATTTTAATATTGTAGTTTAGTTAACGTTATATACGCAATTAATAAAGGATGCCGAATCATCCACCGAATCCTATGTTTCATCCTAGTTATTTATTGTTAGAATTTAATTTTTACATTAATTTAACATTATTAACCAATTTCTATTAAATATTATAAATATATGTTTTTTTTAAACATAACAATAATGTTGTTGTTAAATTTGATAAAAATAATTTGTATGCTAAATTGATATAATATATTTACTATTTTGAATTATATAATAATATATATACATTTATTATAACTGCATAATCTCAATCTTTTGAATGACTTATATACCCGCGAGTTACTTATAACTAAATTTAAATATAATATATAGTTTAATATTATTTATAGTTGTTGTTATTGTTAATTAATTTTTTAAAATTTATTTGTTTAACGTTTTAATTTCTATCACTATAATTATTTAAAACATCAAACATTGTTTTTTGATTTTAAAGGTAACAATATAATCATTTATGTAGGGTTATTTTTAGCTATTGTTATTGTAAGTTATTTTAAGCTACTTATTTGAAAATGTTTAACGATTATAAAATATATTTAGGAAATATTTTAGTTAAATTGAGATTACAATTTAGTTTTTGCATTTAGCGCTACAATTTATCACTTTTAACTATTCAAAAATATTCTTTGGGTTTTTTAAGTGGAACTGACATTTATATTTAAGTTAACACTGTAATGTTATATTTAAATTAACAATTTAAGTATTTTGTCCAAACTGTTCAAAAATTGTAACTTTAAACTGATAATGGTTTACATAGAACAACATATTGAATCTAATAAATTAAGTATAATATGTTAAAAGTTAAAGACATAACTTTATAAGTAGAAGTAAAGATATTATTTTAATATTGAAATTTAGTTTATTTATGATTACACTTTAGGTTTGATATTTATTTAACCTTATTAACCAACTTATGATTATTATTAGAAAGACAATATAATTTATCACTTGTAACTTTTTACATAATATTCTTTAGGCTATTTAAGTTGAACTAAAATTTATATTTAAGTTGACCCTGTAATGTTATATTTAAATTAATAATTTAAGTATTTTATACAAATTATTCAAAAGTTGTACCTTTAAAATGATAATGGTTTACATCCAACAATATATTAAAACTAATAAATTAAGTATAATATGTTAAAAGTTAATGAAATACTTGGCTTAATCCACTCTAATTTATGTGTTTTCAGAGCAACACCTACTAGAGGAGGAAAAAATTATTATATTTCTTTTATTGATGATTGCAGCAAGTATTGTTATATTTATTTGTTAAATACCAAGGATGAAGCCTTGAATTCTTTTAAGAACTACAAGGCTGAAGTTGAAAATCAACTTGACAAAAAGATCAAAATTCTAAGGTCTGATCGAGGCAAGGTTGTAGAACTCGCTACTCGGTACCTGCTCGGCCGACTACTGAGTAGTGAGTACTCAGGAGTACTCGGGGAGTACTCGGATTTGGTAATTCATGTGGAAATATTTTTATGGAAATTATATATGTCAAAATCACAAGATAAAATCATGAGTTGATTGAAATATACCACAAAATTAGATGCATGTGAATACACAAAAACTGAAAAACACATAATGGTCTCAGTTCGTGAATAATTACTGAAAATTTAAGGTATATATGTAGTAATAATCACATTTATGTGTGTTAAATAATAAATAATTAAGTATATTATACATATTAATCACCGAGTTGACCGAGTTTTACAACACTGCTCAATTCAATTAGGGGTCGATCGAGGAGTACTCGAGATTTTGTAACTTGCCTCGATAAGGGGGAGGGGGAGTAGCGAGTACCCGGAGGAGTAATCGGCCAACTAGGCGAGTTTTACAACACTGGATCGAGGAGGAGAATATGAATCCAAAGACTTTTCTGAATTTTGTTTTTTAAATGGTGTTATACACCAAACAACTGCTCCATATACTCCACAACAAAATGGAGTTACTGAAAGGAAGAATAGAACATTGAAAAACATGATAAACTCAATGTTAATAACTTCTGGAGCACCCCATAATTTGTGGGGAGAAGCATGTGTTGCATCAAATTCAATACTTAATAGAATTCCTCATAAAAAGAGTGACAAATCACCCTATCATATGTGGAAAGGGAGATTACCCTCTTACAAAAGGATGAAAGTGTGGGGTTGCCTGGCTAAGGTACAAGTACCTCTTCCAAAGAGGACTAAACTTGGACCAAAAACCATAGATTGCATCTATCTTGGCCCTGCCATGAATAGTGCAACCTATAGGTTTCTTGTGTATAAATCACATGTTGATGATATCCATAACCAAACCATCATGGAATCAGCAGAGGCTGAATTCTTTGAAAATATTTTTCCTTTTAAGGATAAAGGGAAAAAGGTTACCTGCTCTAGGAAAAGACCTCTAGATGATGGACTGAATGATACCATTCCAGACAAAAGTTTACAATCAAATGAAGAGAATTCTTCAAAGGTTCAAGAAGAGAACTTAGAACCTAGAAGAAGCAAACGGGGCAAAATAGCCAAAG